CCAGCCCGCACCAGCAGTCTAGCGCAGTAATTTAGGGGCTCGGTGACTGTTCAGCTGGAGCGGGCGCCGGCCTGTGTCTCAGGCCTCCTCTCTCCTCTCTGAGTGGATGCTCAGGCCATCCACTAAGGGTTAGGGAAATTGAGTTTCAACTACGTGGTTCCTGCTAGTAGGGCCCAGTGAGGACGGGCCTTTATTTTTCTGTTCTGCTTTGTTTTTGAGCATTTGTGTGGTCCGTGTTCTCTAAGCCAGAGGAATAGGACTGCACCTGGTTTTGCGTTGATGGAGCCAGTCTCTGTGCAGATATTTCGTGGAGGCCTGCCCATCCAGCACCCCCCCCCCCCCCCAGCACCTCACTCTCCCTGCCAGGCCCACTCCCTGCCTTGTCCTTGGCCAAGCAGTGCACACGCAGCACCTGGCTCCCTGCCCCGCGGGGACCCCGCCCCTTCTGGAGCCCTGGCCCTGAAAGAGGCTGTTTATCTCACTTCCGGATTGAGTGTGGTTATTTGTTTTGGGAGGAAAGATTGCCTCCCTGTTTGTTGTGCTGCTCCTCAGAAACCTGTGTGTGAGGGTCAGTGTGGGGCGTGTCTGTCTGGTTTACACACCCATTCACTCAAGGAACACTGACTGGGCATGCGCTCCTGCCAGATACCAGGCTGCCAAGCTGAACCCATGGGACTTGCAGGTTGGTAGGAAAAAGCAAGTGAGACTGGTCTTACCGGACTGGGACTGGGAGAGGGGACTGGCAGGGCCCGGGCAGGGCAGGCAGCGTGCGCTCACTGCGCGTGGCCCCTGCACAGTTCCTTCCTGCTCTGCAGATGCCTTTTTGAATCAAATTGAAGTAAAGACACACGGTGGAGAGGAAACAGGGCAGGAGAGTGGGGTGAAGGGGCCTGGTGGGGGCAGCTGGAGGGGGCCACCCCTCCGAGGGTACAGCTGGCAGGAGTGGCATTGTGGGTTCTGGGACCGCCAGCCTCCAGCGTCTGCCCCAGCGAGAGTCCTGAGCAGCCAGTTCTGAGCAAGGGCTCCGTGGGGAGGGGTCAGTGGCAAAGAGGCCCTCACCCCAGGAGGCCTGCTCCCAAATCAGAACGGGGAAGGAGCAGAGGGGAACGTCTGCCTCTTCTGTTGTTAGGGGCAGAGTGAGGGGAATGTGCACGGTTTGTTTCAAGGTGGGTTTTTTCCCCAGTATTTCTCAGATTTTCATTTTGCTAATTTAAGAAACAAACCCTTACTGGAAAGCTACTTCCACTGTTTTGAAACTGGAACGTGTGGGTTGGAAGGCGTCCGTCCGTTTAATGCCTGGAGTCCGCCTCTGCCCAGTGTGCCCTCGGCTGGTCTCGGGCTCTCACTCACCAGGGCACGGGCGTGGGAAAGCTGGGCTCCTCGCACACCCCGTGGTCCTACATTGTTCGAGGGGGCGCATTCTGGGTTCCTGAGTGAGAGTCACAGTCCACCAGCTTCATGGTCTGCTTGGTGCACCTCCGCCTTCCAGAGTGTGGCCACAGGGTGAGCGAGCGAGGCCTCCCCTCACTGGGCCTGGGCTCGCAGTGCTCATGAGTGTCTCATGCATCCTTGTGATGAACACACGTGATGAGTGGCAGCTGGGTGCCCGGCACTGGGCTAAGGAAAAGACGGGGCGTCCAGCCAGCAGCAACCGATCGGCGGGAGTGCGTAGCGGGCGCTTGGTCCCCAAAGGCCTGCTGCCTCTGCCCAGAACGAGTCCCCTTCTTTTACAGATGGGTCCCACGGGGCTTCCTTTTACCTGCTTTTACAGCCCGCAGCCAATTAGGGAAGTACGTAGAGAGTATGTGGGCAGGCTCAGTAACTGTAGGCATGGGAAGGGCACAGACAGGAGTGGGGGAAGGAGACAGAGCCGGAGGCAGGAGATGCCGCAGGCGTAATGGTCTGAACGGGCGAGTGTACGCCTGAGGACATCGTTACCTAACACACTCCAGTAATTGTTGTTCCTGATAATGACTCTTAATCCTTCCAAAGAAATGGACGGGTGTTGTACTTAAGACAGGAAGCAGCCAGTTACCTGGAGATTGGCTTGCACGGAAGGGCCTGTTCATCAGCAGAGGCAGGCGTATGGACTGCAACTCCAGTGCAGTCGAGCCGCCGCCTTCTCTGTGATCGAGAACACGCGCCCGTCTGGTCTGACTGTACCGTGAGCACAGTGCAGTCACCACAAGCACCTGAACGTGAGCGTTGCCCGAGACTTCACGTTCCGCGAGCCCCCACTTCTGAAAACTGCGCCATTTGTCACCATTGAGAGCGGTTTCGTGGAACACACAGGTCATGGGGAGATGATGCTCGGGCTGCAGGTGACAGGCGGTCATGCTGCCACCGGGGTGGGTGGGCTGATGTGTGTGGAAACTGGCCGTCTCTGTCATGCTGTGCTGTTCTGCGGGGAAGGGGGTTGGGGCGGATGGACCTCTGTTATTTACAGGATGGGGTACCAGTGGGTTTACAGTTGTGAGTACCCAAAACAGAGTATTCCTATGTGCTCATGTAGTTAGTTACTGTGTCCTTTTCCATACCAACAGCTACGAGTCTACTTGTGCCCCGCCCTCTACTTGGTAGCTAACAGTGGCCTCAGCCACGGGTTGGCAGACTTTTCATGGTGCCACGCTGGCTGGCCACACGTCTCCGTGGGAACTTCTCGACGCTGCCATTGTAATGCAGCAGCAGACAGAGCCCTCTGTGGCTGTGGCCCAGAGGCACAGCTGCAGTCCAGTGGAACCTTGCTGATTTCCAGCTCACGTAGTAATTTCGAGAACATCGGTGGTGTACATGCCGGTGTGTGTGGCAGCAGGAAAACCCAGACCGTGGTCGCCTCTGCAGGTGGGCGAAACGTTGAGCTGCCTTCGGTCAGCTTTTGAGCCATGGGGGTTTCCTGGCAATCCACCTTTCGTTTGTTTGGTTTTGCTTGCACAGGGTTTAGAATTTTAGAATTCACTGGGCGTAGGTCAGGGTCCAGACGTCCCTGGTCTGTGAGCCGCTCTCCTGTTCGGCGCTTCAGAAGGTGTCCCTGCATCTTTGGGTGCCTCTGGGTTGCCCCTGGCAGCACTGTTTGCCACTGTCCTGTGGAGTCAGAGTTTGCTTTGTTAGAAGACTCTGGTCAGTGGACATGGGGAATGGCTGCTTTTGCTCTGCTTGGCTGGTCACTCTGTACAGTCATGCCTTCGTGTCCCCAGCTCCCCTCACCGGGTGTGCAGTGAGTGTTAGTGCCTCAGAGTGTTTGTCGAGTCAGTGTGCCTTTTCTCTGGGCAGGGACACAGTGCCTGGTGCCTTCGGACCACTGACCCTGGGCCCCGTGGGAGAAGGGGCCCAGCCTTCCTGATGATCCGTGTGTGCAGCTTTGACTCCAGAATGTCTGTCACTTTGAGTGGCAGTTACCGCCCCACCTTGCAGCTCTCCAGACGCACCCTACTTTTTCATGACTGTACTGTAGCCTCTCAAAATGCTCTCTTTAAGGTTTTTTTTTTTAAGAATTTATGTATTTATTTTGAGAGAAGGGGGAAGAGAGAGAAAGAGAGAAACAACGTGTAAGAGAAATGATCAGTTGCCTCTCTCATGCCCCTGATCAGGGACCTTGCTCACAACCCAGACCTGTGCCCCGACCAGGAATCAAACCGGCGACCTTTTGGTTTATAGGACGACGTCCAACCCACTGAGCCACACCAGTCAGGGCGCTCTCTCCCCACTGAGGGCAGTGGAGGGAAAAGGAAGGTTGAGCAGAAGGGTGGAGACAACCTTCTGCAACCATCAGAATGGCCCTCGGTGCAGAAGAGTTCACGGAGCCAGTGCTGCTTTTGAGTGACCACAAGGTGACTCGGGCTTTCCAAAGCCCGAGGTGCCTCTATGGTGCTGTAGATGGGACTACAGTGGCTTTCCCAGGGCACCTACCTCTGGAAGTGAACCTGAGCCATCGTAGTTTCTAACTGAGAAACCTGGTCAGTGGCCCAGTAGTAGGCCGTAGAGTTCGAGATGGAGAAACAGAGGAGGTAGGTTGGCACGCGTGCGTCTCGCAGAGCGTGCTGTGGACGGCCGGACTGTGGCGACTGGCCCTTCGCCACTTCATTGCCGTCTCCGGGACCCGAGCTGCCGTGGCCAGAGGAAAGAGCGCGTTGCGGGCGCTGCTGGTTCCTGCAGGAAGGGATCTTCCTGGAGAGAGTGTGTGCGCACAGTCTGTGCCCTGCATCACAAGCACCTCCGACCCCACACGCCAGCCCCTCGAAGACGGTGCAGGGGGCACAGGGGCTGGATGGGTGGTTCTCACAGCCGGGGAGACACAGGCCAGGGGGTCGGGGAACGTCTTCGGACTCGGTTTTCAGCATTCCCGCACTGTGCCCCGCCAACCATATCCCAGGACTCGGTCTCTGGGCCTGGAATGGAAACCGCTTTGGCCATGGGGCTAACAAGCCTGGCAAACTTCAAGAATGTCCCTGTCTTAGTGGCTGTTCTGCCTTTATCACTTGCAAGGCAGCAAGGTAGAATGTCTTAATGGCCGTAGCTTAAGGCGAGCCCTGGCTGTCCACTGCCCTCCTTCATATCCCCTGAACCCTGCAGAGCCTCGACATTGGTCTCTGGGTTCGTGCCAAGGACAGTTTTCCCGGAGGGCCTGGTGCGCCCCTGCCCCTTGCCTTTTAGGCCCTGCTTTGAACACACCCACTGAGATAGTGTCCGCCGTAGATCCTTAGTGGACGAGGAGACCTGGTTCCAGTCCCCTCTAGGTGGGCGTGTGTGCGCTGCTGACCTTGGCTGACCTTGGGCAAGGCCTCTGCCCTTTGAAGCCGCCCCTTTGTTGTCTGTCGTGTGACCGACCCACTTGGGGCGAGGCAGCCCCATTTCACAACGTCTGAGTTAGCGCTATGGGGGGGCTCACATTTTAAATGAGCGTGGGTCCAGGCAGAGCTTCTGCAGGAGGTTCGCTTTGGAAAGGTCACTTTGTCAGGTCTGCTTGATGACAACACCACGTTCCTGGGTCTTCTGTCTTGCAGATGCCAGTATGGACAGAATAGCCTATGATGCTCATCCCGACCCACCACTTCCGAGACATTGAGCGGAAGCCAGTGTACCTCCAGCCGGAGAAGTGCGTCCCGCCTCCCTACCCCGGTCCTGCGGGAGCCATGTGGTTCATCCGAGACGGCTGTGGCATCGCCTGCGCCATCGTCACCTGGTTTCTGGTCCTCTACGCGGAGTTCGTGGTCCTCTTTGTCATGCTGATCCCGTCCCGAGACCACGTGTACAGCATCATCAACGGGATTCTGTTCAACCTGCTGGCCTTCCTGGCCCTGGCGTCCCACTGCCGGGCCATGTTGACGGACCCCGTGAGTATGTCTGGGCGTGTTCTGACCGGCCCGCACTCTCCTCCTCCGGCCCTGGCACGGCCCCAGCCTGCATGTCCCCCTGACCTCGGGAGTGCGGAGACAGTGCGGAGACAGGAGGAGGGCCAGGCTGGGGTGGGACTGGTGCCCCACTGAGGAGACGCCTTCGGCACCACGGCCTGTGTGTCCTGTGCGAACGCTTCGTTGGCGTGTACGTGGATGGGGCTGCTGGGGAGGCTTCGGTCTGGACGAAGCCTGGCCTCCAGTTAGAAAGGTGCGGTCAGCTAACCGCCAAGCCTGGGGCCGGGTGGCGCAGAAGGAGCGCTGGGAGCTGGGAGCTGGGTCAGGACGGGGCTTCTCAGCGAAGACAGGACCCAGCGGGCGGGTTCGAATAAAGCCGTATCCCGTTCTAGGGCTCTGCACGGGCAGCGCCTTCCCTTTGGGCGAGTCCCATCCTTCCCTGAAAAGCAGGACAAGCCTGTTTCAGGCTGCAGCAAGTGCCCCTGGTGAAGATCAGTGGGTAAAGTGGTGGCGGTCCGTCCAATGACTTAGCCAAACACCCAGCTGTGCAAGTGGCTATTGAACGTCAAGTGCCCTGGCATTAAACCCTCCGTTCCTGTTCATTATGAGTGTGGGAGAAGCAAGAGAGTGTGTTATTTGATAAAGACCTCCTGTGTCTTCATTGTTTGCAGTACTTGGGACAAGTGTGTTTACATTGAGAAAGGGAAGTGCTCTGAGTGGCGGTGGCAGCAGTCACACGGACTTCGAGTCCGTGGGCCCTGGGGAAAGCTCGGTGAAGAGCTAGTTCCCATCTCAAAGGGCTCCATCTTTTGCTGGTTCAGGCATGGACTGTTAATCCGTCCCGAGGGAAAGCGGCTTTCCCAGCTCACTGACGTGCCAGCCACCTGTCCAGACGGTGCCTCTCCTGGTGCAGGCGCCTGGGCAGACGCGCTCTGGGAGGCAGGGGCCCCAGGGCCCCGTGTGAGTGCCCTGTGTGGTGTGACCCAGCAGCCGGCACCTGCAGGAAGTGGAGTGCCTGGTTAGGGCTGGACGTGTCCCAAAGCACAAGGGCACAAAGGGCTGTCCTGGCTGCATGAACTTGGTCATAGGGGTGACGAGTTAAGGCTTTATTCAGAAGTTCCTATGATGCCCTTGCTACTGGGGACACCAAACTAAAAGGCAGTGTTTTGCTCACCATATAATTTAGTTTCTGTTAAGCTCAGGCACTGTTCCTGCTTTCCAGGCGCCCCCCGTCTAGAGAAGCCAGCCCCCCCCCCCCCCGCAATAAAGGCTGTGGCAGAAGGAAGCACCAGCTGCTGGGAAGAACGGGGGAGGGGCCGTCACCCGATCTAGGCAGGAGGACACAGCGTCCGCGGCAGAGGGGCAGCGCGCACAGAGATGCAGGAGTACAGGGTGCAGCTCCTCTGGGCAGCCCGTGTGCCATTTCCAGTGGTGGGGACTTGGGAGGAAAGTGGGTATGGGTGGGCCAAGCGGGCAGAGCGTCTAGGGGCAGTCCGGAGCCCCTGAGGGTGTTAAACAAAAGCGTGACGAGAGACCAGACTGTCCTCTCAGGCCGCAGTGAGGAGGAGCCCGGGGGCAGTGAGGTTGGAGTGAAATGAAGGGCATGTTTGCTGAGCGAGCGGCGCACCCACGAGCAGTTCCGTTCCGAGCAGTGGACACAACTGGGAGCAAGCCAGACCCACATCCGGGCCCCCGCAGCTCCCACCTTGCCCTGGGGCCGGGCAGTGCCGTCACAGTTGCGCAGGGTGACCGCAGAACGTGCCGGGGGTGTGACGGCAGCAAGTGCCATCAGGGTGATGCGGCGACCTTTGTGGGGTACAGGTGGTCTGAAGGCCTCTCTGAGGCAGTGCCGTTTGAGCTGAGACCTGAGTGACCTGACGTTGCAGGCCAGGCAAAGGGAGGTCTGAGGGCAGAGCCTTCCAGGCTGAGGAGAGACCACGTGCGAAGGCCTAGAGGTGGGAGCACGTTGGAGAAGTGGGACTCTGACCAAGGTGGCCGAAGCACACTGAGGGGCACTGGGGCGGCTGCTCCAGGTGGAGAGGGCCTGCAGGGCCCCTGAGGACCCTGGTCTGCATTCTGAGTGTGGTGGGAAGCCATCAGAAAGGTACGGTGTGGCCAGGCTTTGCGCTCGGGATGGGGTTTGGGTGGGGGCAAGCACAAGCAGGAAGGCGAGAGGTGCTGTGGTGGTCCACGCGAGACGTGCGGCTCAGGCCGAAGTGGGGGGCAGTGAGGCTGGAGGGAAGCTGTTGGCTTTAGAGTATATTGTAAGCCACTAATTCACATGGGGCTCTGTGTCAGAATCCCTTGGGGAGCTTTTAGAAAGCATGGATGCCTGGGCCCCACCCCCAGAGAGTCTGCTCTAATTGGTCTGGGGTGGGGCCTGGGTATCGGGACTCTTTACAGATCCCGGGAGCCCCTCGGGTTCAGCCAGGTCTGAGAACCAGCATTCAGAAGAGCTGAGGGAATGGAAAGGGATCAAAGACTCTGAGCGGGGTGGGCAGGGGCGGATGGGGGGGACTGATTGCTGGTGCCATTGATTGAATGGGGAGAGTCTGGGGAGAATAGATGTAAGAGAGAAGGGCTTTTGTTCTGGCGGAACTGTGTCTATAGGACAGGTAAGCAGAGAGGCCAGGTAGGGGCTGGTGGAGCAGCAGGGTCAGAGTGGAGTGTAGAGGTCACTGGTTTTTAGAAGGCACGTGAATTAGGGAACTGGGTGTCAGGCGGGGCGTGAGTGGGGGAGGAGGCTTCCGCCACGGTCTCCGGGGGGCCCCCACAGTCTGGCCCTTTGCAGCGGGACTCGGGAGACAGTGGTCCTCACTATGGTGTGGTGCTTGGCCCCAGTCCTGAGTGAGTGAGAGCTGTAGTTTGTGTCCCAGACTCCAGCCAGCTTCTCAGGATGTGTCTTGCTGGAGGCCCCAAAGAAAACTGGGCAAAAATATGGAGCATCTGTTAGATATCAACCATGTAAAGGAAGCCAGTCAAAGCATGTCCACCAGACAGACCCGGGCTCAGGCTCCTCTGAGCTCCTCCTGCCCCTACCTGCCACCCCCATCCCAGCAGGTGACACCTTATGCAAAACCCAGTGTGTAAACGTAAACAGAGGTAGGGAGCAGTGCCGGAGCAGAGTTGGGCGCCAGATCTCACACAGAGAGCGGATCGATTAGGGGTTCCTCATTAACGCTGTGGGGAGGTGAGGGGCAGTTTCTAGAAAGGCGCTCTGCAAGGTTCTAAGTTCCCTAGTAGAAGCATCATGTTTTGTATCCCAACAACTCACCCACGACTTTCAGAAGAGGTTACATCCTGAGCTCATAAGTAAGGTATGACAGTGTATTCACAGTATATCATACTGGTTTGTTAGTATTACTAGTAAAAAATTTAAAGAAGTATCTTACAGTCTTCCCCAAATAGTTACTGTACCACCTCCAGCTTTGAACTTCTCGTTCCAATTATAGCACCAAAAGAGTTGCAGCCTCGGTCCTTTCTGGAGCATTCAGCAGTCATTTAGTAAGTGGGTCCACACAGAGCTTGAGCAGGAAGGGACGCGGGATGAAGGGGACAGGCCTGTAAAGAGAGGGGACAGATGGACAGAGGGGCAGGAGCTGGGGCGGCAGCTTCAGTCAGACTGGTGTTTGATGCCGGGCACCCGCTCCCTGCCCACCGTGAGGCTGTGCGGTGCCACCAGGAGCTTCCCTTCCGTGTTCCCCAGCCACTTCCGATGCTGGAGGAGGCGGAGGTGGGGGAGAAGGGGGAGAAGAGGAAAAGGGGTCTGGGGCAGCGAGGGGGAGGGAAGGTGCGTGTCACGCACTCCTCAGTGCCAGGGGCTGGCCCGCCACTCTCTGGCTCTGAGAGAGGGGTCACAGGCGGGTCACAGACAGGTCACAGGCGGGTCACGGGCCAGATGGGGTCTGGCCGGATGGGAGTGAGCCTTTCAGGAGGTTTGTGCAGATGGAGTCACCCTGGGGGACCGACCTTTAGAAAGACGGAGCTGCCCCTGAAGTCTCCATTGTGAACACCCCGTTGCCCTCTGCAGTGTGGCGGCTGCTCTCCTAGCCCTTTATGGCCCCCCTGCCCCCAGGGTCACAGCACATTCTAGTGGCCCCGGGGCCTTAAAAACAACCTGGGCTTTCGTTTGGGAAAGCTCAGCCGGGATGATGCTTCCCCGGGTACCGGTGACAGCAGTGACTTCCACTTACAGTTTTGTGGCTTACAGCTGCCTCAACTCAATTATGTTTTTTTATTTTTTATTTTTATTTTATTTTATCTATTTATTTTAAAGATTTTTTTAAAAGATTTTATGTATTTATCTTTAGAGGGGAAGGGAAGGAGAGAGGGAGAGAAACATCAATGTATAGTTGCCTCTCGTGCATCCCCCACCAGGAACCGACCCGCAACCCAGGCATGTGCCCTGACTGGGAATCGAACCTCGATCCCCTGGTTCTGCAGGCCTGTCTCAGGTGAACCTCAGTCCACTGAGCCACACCAGCCAGGGCCTCAATTACTTTTTTTTTAATTTTAATTTAATTTTGTAACCTTCACTCAAGGATATGTTTATTGTTTTAGGGGGAGGTGGGTAGAGAGAAACATCCACGTGAGGGTTGCCTCCCGTACGTGCCCCGACGGGGGATCGAACCCGCCGTGTTCTGGTGAGCTGGACAGTGCGGCAGCCGAGCCGCCTGGCCAGGGCTGACCTCGGTCACTTACTGCATCGAACAGAACTAGCAGGAGGGCCCTCTGGGCCTTTCCGTGCCTTCTCTGACCCTCTAATTAATTACGCTCCCCCGTGTAGCAGAGATTAGCAGAGAGTTCCACTTAAGAGAGTATCTCTTCACAGAAAGTTTCGGAATTTTGTTTTACTTTCCACTTAATTTTGTATTGGTTTCAGGTTAAAGCTTAGTGTTTTGGGGTTTTTTGTTAGTTTATTTTTAGCCCTCTGGGCTTCTGCCTGGGCCCTGCGGTGGGTGGTCTGGGCCCGCCTTCTGGTCGTGACCCGACCCCTCACTGCTGCCCCCAGAGGGGCCCCTCAGCTGTCTCGGCGTTTGGGCACACGCACCAGGAAAATTGGTCATGTTCCTACTCTGTAGGTGGCTCCTTCCTGATATATATATATTTTTTTTTGCTTGTGTATTTATATTTGATGTTTTTTAATTGCAAAAGCCACGTGTTCATAATAGAACATTTGTGAAACATCAAGAAAATGAGCTGTTTCTGTGGTTCTGCTGCGGGAGTGAAGTGACCGTTAATACTTTCCTGTGCGGCTTGTCCTTTTATCTGCGTCTAGAACACCTGCACGCAAACGAGCTCCCACTCTGCGCGCTGGTTGCAAGTCCGCTTCTCCCTCTAACTGTCTGCCGTGGGCCCGTCCCGCGTCGGTGGCTGTGGGCTTCTGCAGCGCCCTCAGTGTAAAACCGCGTCCTGGTGGCACCGGGCACATTGCACAGTCCCCGCCTCCCAAACCCTGTTCGCATTCACGTTTCCGTCATAGGTCCAGCTCCTACTGCATTTTGCAGGCCAGGTTTTTCTTCCTACTTCATTTTTGAACTTTTAGGAAGATTTTTAATGAACCCCTGCAGACAGTGCAAAGGGCACACAGGATAATTCGATGACCACCCAGGTGGTCTCCTCTTTGGCATTTCCTCGGGAAGGTTGCCCATAAATATTCATGGATCTTGGCATAATTCAGCACTGAGTCCCCGTGTTGGGGTGAGCGTGTCCCACCCTGTGTATGTACCTGCTGCTTTGAAATGGCCGTGTCCCCGGTGGAACGTCAGAGCTGACAGGACCCCAGCTCAGCCCAGACTGACACCCGTCCTCTTCCGCACAGGGGGCCGTGCCCAAAGGAAACGCCACTAAAGAGTTCATCGAGAGTTTACAGCTGAAGCCGGGCCAGGTGGTGTACAAGTGCCCCAAGTGCTGCAGCATCAAGCCTGACCGAGCGCACCACTGCAGGTACGCACGCGCCCCGGGGCTCACCCGCACGCACACACAGGCGCTCACTGCCCCACCAGTGCCGCTGGCCACGGGCTCTGGCACGCCCCCCTCTGGGCACCAAGTGACCCCCTATGAGCTCACCAGACTGGAAAGAGCTTTTGTTCCAGGCTCAGGACCCCTGTCCAAGGACCCAGCTCTGCTGCACCGGACGCCAGGCCCCGGCGGGCCCTTGACTCCCTGCCGCGTTTCCCAGTCTGCGAAACCCAGGAGATGCCGGCTCTCCCACCTCACAGCCTGTGCCCTCGGGAAGGGCACCTCAGAGAAGGCTTTACAAAGCCCTCCTCTGAATGTCTAGCACTTGACCCGTGTAAATCGGCCCTGTTCTCGTAAATCTTACAGGGAAACGAGGGGCTCAGCCTCGATTGAAGGCTTTTCTTTGCAACAAAACTGCAAGAAGTTATGACATGGTAGAATTCAGCCCCAAAAGCCACTTCCCCATCTTACCAAGGGTGATTTTCCCCATTCGGTTTTCAGATTTCTTTGAGGACATCTAGCTAAAATTGCACGTTTTCATTACAGAACTACAGGCTTATCACTTGGTCCTTTTCTCAGGGGGACCAAGGGCATTGGTCTGGGTCTGCGGGCATTTCTGTGTCAGGAGGGCGCTCAGCCTCCAGCAGTGCTGTTTCGTGGTCAGCTCCTGGGCACCTGCTGTGTCCTCATCGGTCACCTGATTTCCGTCCCCACGGTCTCTCTCGGGGCTAGCTTTGCTATAAGAATGATGCCCTGAGTGAGGACTTAGGGCTCAAGGGGCAAAGTGGTTTCCTCCTCTTTCCCTGAGCCCCCCTCTGCCCCTCTGCCTGGCGTTCCCTTGCCGCCTCCTCGAGTCTCCCCCAGGATGGTCTGAGGGAGGTGTTCTCGAGGGCCAGTCAACAAGTCAGCCCGAGCAAACAAGAGCCGCTGATTCCCATGAACCTGAAGGAGGATCCCTGACTCAGGAAATGTGTGCTGACAACTGCCCCTTTGTGGTGGCTCGTGGTGGCTCGCAGTGGCCCCACCATCTGGGCACCCACAGTCTTGCATGAGCAGAACCCCCAGCACAGCTGACAAAGCTGTGCCCGGGACTGGCCGGGCCAGGCGCCCTGCTGCCTGGATGGAGGACGCTGGTGTCGGTCTCGCTGGCTCAGGAGAGGTGCTTGCGCCCAGCTCTCCGGTTCCTCTCCTCGCAGGAGAGTCCGTGGGATCTGGAACTCTCTCCATCCTCTGAGCTCTGGTGGCCCCCACCGGAACTCCCCGAACGTGGGGCTGGAGGCGTCCTTCCTGCCTGGCAGTGTGCTGGTGGGTCTCCCGCCGAGGAGAGGCCCACTGGGGCCCCAGGCAGGTGCTTTTTCCTGGCGTCGAGGACCAAGGAGGGAGCCGTCCACGGTCACGTGGATGGCCCTGGTGCTAGGTTCACAAGTTAGGTTCTTGCACAAGGAGGGGGAGGCCTCTAGCTTGGGCCAAGCCTCACACCCCCACCCCCGCCCAGCACACGCTCAGGCTGGGACACCGTGGCCTGCTCAGGGCGCCGTCCAGGCTCTTGTTGTGTCTCTCGTGGGATGGTTGCTGGTAGTTTACGTGGCCGCAGCGTTGTTTCGGAAGCGTTGCACTCACAGACTCCGTCTTGGCCCTGGGAGACTCGGGGCCTGCTCCGCGGAGGCTGGTGAGCAGAGCCAGGGTGGTTGTTCCCCTGCGAGGTTCAGAGAGCACGGAGTCCTCCCCACTGCCGCACCCAGAAGTGTTTCTGAGTGGCTGCCGGGACATGGTAGATGCCTTCTTTGCTTATACTTTTATTTTTTTAATATTTATTTTTTATTTTTTATAGAGGGGGGAGAGAGGGAGAAAAGGAGAGGGAGAATCATCGCTCAGTTGCCTCTTGCATGCCCCCATCCGGGGACCCAGCCCACAACCCAGGCCTTTGCAGGACGATGCTCCACCCACTGAGTCGCCCAGGTCCGGGCTGCTTATCATTTAAATGTAGGGAACAGGCTTTGAGATGAAAACACCACTTGGCACCACGTGGAACCCCCTCCTGGGGCCACGGAGTCTGACGCACTGCAGCCTGCTGCCAGGTCTGCCCTTTTCTGGTCCACAAGGCGGAGCCCTCACCCGCTGGCCCTTGCTCAGTGGGGCCCCGGTGTGGCTCTGGGCTGGGGCGGAGGGCGGGCATGGCCCCGACCCTGGGGCCTCCGCCCAGGCAGGACGGGTGCACTTGTCCTCCGCGGTGCCAGAGTGAGAGCCACTGCAGGGAGGGACACGCTGTGTCTCCACAGGGGGGCGTCACCTGGGGAGGGCAAGAGAGCCTCTGCCAGAGCCTCTGGGCCTCAGTACCAAGGAGAGGTCCTTGCACCCCCCAGACAGGGAACACAAGTGTAAAAGAACCCAAAGGCATGCAGGCCTTTGAGCTTCTCGGCCTCCCCCAAGCTTTCGAAGGAAATGGAACTGGCAGGACGCCTGGACAAGAAGCGGAGAAGGTCCTCCCTCCTAGAACAGCGTTTAAACACCTGGAAGGGCCTGGGAAACCCTCCACTTCGGATGCATGGTCTTTCCCGAGACCAGTCCTACATGCCTAGGACTTGCTGCCGGGCACTGGGAGCTGGCGCCCGGAGCCCCCACCCGCAGCCCTGGCACAGGGGACTCGGACGTGGTGCCTGAGGGCAGTGCCCGGAGAGGGCTGATGGAGGCAGAGAAGTGGTGAGAGTCAGGGAGGGGCCCTCAGGGAGCCTGCGCGGCCACTGTGCTTGGGCCGCCCTTCTGTGTCCGGGGAGGGGGCCCCATTGAACCCCCATGCACCCGGCTGTGGGGACTGGACGAGGGCTGGCACTGAGGTGGCCAGTTCCCCAGTGGGATGTCAGGTGGTGGGAGGCCCACATTTTTTCATCCTCCTTGTGACAGGTGGTGCTTATAGTGGAACAGCCTGCCAGGGTGTGGACTGTCACCGCCTTGGCCTGGGGTGTCCTTCACTGACCTGTTCAAGGACCTACCTGCAGGCCCTGCCCCAGAGCCCTGCAGGCTGGATGTTCTGGGAGCCATGGGGGAGCCAGCCTTTGTGTGGTGCCTCCAGCCTCTGTGTGGTGCCTCCAGCCACCAACATGGATGGACATCCACCCACCCACTCACACTCACCCACACGTGCCACCACCTAGTGGGTGGGGGGCTGCCTTGGCATTTCGTGTCTTTGCAAAGAGCAGACACAGACCAGCACTCTGGACAAGGTCTGCAGCCCACAGTGGGCTGGACTCCCTTTTCCCACTGCCTGAAGGATGAGTAGTTCTCTGATTTGCTGGTGAGACGTGGGCTCTAGTGAAGGTGAGCTTCCCGGGGGTACACCTGGTCCCTCCAGAGAGGCCGGGAGAGCAGGGCATGGGTTTCCTGAGAGAGTGCGGGGCACCTCCTGGCACATGTCCGGCCGGTGCACGCCTCTGCCACTGAGCAAACAGGGCCCGGGGGCACCCACCTGACAGCCTCTTAGAAGTAAGTGCATCGAAGAGGAAGTGCTCAAGAGCCTCGAGCTGGGCAGGAGGTGGTTCCCCTCAGGAGTTCGGCCCCACTCGGTGGGGGCTAAGAACCCCAGGGCTGATTGTCCCGGAAGGACCTGCCAGAGGTGGGCTCTGAGAGGGGCCCCGCGGAGGCACGTGGGGCCTGGCAGCCGAGGCCCGGGACGCAGGGAGATCACTGCCTGCCTGTCCGCACTGCACACATGCGTGCCAGGAGTGAGCGTTACCAATCGAATCGATAATGCAGCAATTAATAAATAGAAACACAAATGAACTCTGGGTACTCACAACTGTGACCCTCCTTTTGCTCACCCCGTGTGTACTGTTCACGTGTATCTTGTAAATTGGCCGCACAGGGAGGGAGGGAAGGAGAGAGAGAGATCGAGCGTGAGTCACAGGGTTCCTGGTGCCGGACTTTCTCCCCACTTTGCCCACGTCCCCTGCATGCCTGCGCTCCTGGCCCCGGGGAGTTTCTGTGGCTGGGCCAGCAGCCCTGGAGTGTGGCCCTTTCGGGGGTGTGATGAGACCCTTTGAGGCTGTAGAGAGGAAGGGGGTGGAGACCGGAACGAGCTGGTGCCCGTCCACACCAGGCCTCGTCTGTTCTCGCTGCTGGTTTGTGTCTGCGCTTACTTCCCTGGACTGGCGGCCGGAGGCTCGGGGTCAGCCAGCGTGGCTCAGCCGACCTGGTCTGCCCTGCCACCGGAGCTGACGCCGGGCTCAGAAGAGGCCGCCCTCCTGGGGCTGGGGTGAGCCCTGCAGCTCTGTGTCACCAGTCACATCCGTGTCACAGGTCACAGCAGCCCCACAGTGGGGCCCCCTCAGAGTGGCCCAAGCTCTTGGCCAGGGGCCCGGGGAGCAGCTCACTCCTCACCCACAGGACCCCTTCCGCACCCTCCCCACCCCGTCTGCCGGCACCAGCCGGGCCCGAGGCCAGCCCTCCCTGCAGAGCCACCCGCCGCCAGGCCCTGCCCTGTCGGGGCCGGAGGTACGGTGAGCGGGAAGAAGAGCTGTGTGAACCAAGGGACTGTCAGAAAAGAAATCTAATTGTATTATTTCCCAGCTTATATTTGTAGTATTTCCAACTGTTTTGAACAAAAAAGGCCCCCAAGATAAATGCTCAGGAACCTACTGTAATGAACTGGAAAGAGGACTGTTTGGCGGCCCTGTCCGTGGGCAAGCGGCCTTTCTGCCGTGAGCTGTGGGAAGCGGTTGCTTTCAGGCCCCACGAGCCTGTGCTCTGGTCTCGTGCTGTGGCTTGTGTGTCCACAGAGGGGTGGCCAGGGTGTTGGCCATCAAGTCAGCCTGAGACCCTCCGAAGGGTCCCCGTAGCAAGTTACTAGTCTGTAAATTTATCTCTCAGATGATCAGCACCAAAGCTCAGATGACTTCTGTGCTTTGGGTTTTTTTGCGGGGAGGGGGGGAGGGCACTAATTTGAATGTCATCTTAGAGCCGAAAAGCTCCCAGAGGCGGGCACCCTGCTGCCCCGAGACCATCGGCACTGCACCCAGCTCTGTGCTCCCCAGGCCTTTTCCTCCCACAACCACACCCTCCCTGGAAGCTTCTGCTGAGGAGCTCCCCCAGCTGAGGGGCCCCTGCCTGCCTGGGCCTTTGGTCTCTCTGGGGAATGGGGAGCAGCCCTTTCCCCTGTCCCGTCTCATCAAGTTCAAAACTGCTTTCCATCAGTGGCTGGTGTGGCTCAGTGGATGGAGCGTGGGCCTGCGAACCAAAAGATCCCAGTTCAATTCCCAGTCAGGGCACATGCCTGGGTTGCAGGCCAGTTCCCAGCAGGGGACACACGAGAAGCAACCACACACTGATATTTCTCTTCCTCTCTCCTTCCCTTCCCTTCTAAAATTAAAAAAAAAAACACCTGCCCTCCATTCTGGCCTCTCAGTAAAGCACACGTGTCCCCAGCTCAGTGTCCTGTGAAGGGGGGGGCGGCCATGTCAGTCCCACCCCATGTGTCTGTCCAACAAAATCCCTTGGCGGGTGACTGTGACCCTGGGGGTCCTGGCCTCCGACGGGCCCTCCTGACGGCCTGCCTTGTGCGCTGTTGCAGCGTCTGCAAGCGATGCATTCGGAAGATGGACCACCACTGTCCCTGGGTCAATAACTGCGTGGGCGAGAACAACCAGAAGTACTTCGTCCTGTTTACAGTGAGTTCTGCCTGGGGGTCCTGCCCCACCCCCGGAACCAGTGGCGCCCTTGGCTCCCCTCTGCCTTCCAACCAGCTCTTCTTGCTCAGTGAGGGCCTGCCTGTTCCTAAGCCCTTAGCTGGAGCAGCTAGAGTCGACTCAAGTCGATTAGCTGCAAGTGTCCTGGGCCCCCACCGCAGCATGCAAGCAGCCCGAGCAGCTGTGGAGGCCGTGGTGGCGAGGACGGCGGGGGAGGCAGGCCCTGTTCAGTGTGCGGGCTGGAGTGGCTGCTGGCAGTCAGCCCCCGGAGCTCTGCCTGACTCCTTGGATGGGGGGGCAGGGAGATGCAGCCAGCCTGCAGCGTCCCTGGGAAGCCCACCCCCCAGGTGCCCAGGTCACGCCTGGTGATGGGCCCTTGTCCACACGTGGGAGGAGGGGCAGTGGGAGATCCACCAGAGGCCTCTGCAGCCCCCTTCGGGTCAGGTCGGCCCTCCCCCACCGACTGCGCGCTGCACTCCCATTACAGATGTACATAGCGCTCATCTCCTTGCACGCCCTCATCATGGTGGGATTCCACTTCCTGCGCTGCTTCGAAGAAGACTGGACAAGTGAGTATGAGCCAGGGCCTCCCTCCCGCTGGGCGGTGGTGACGTGAGCTGGAGGCTCCTTGTCTCCAGTCTGGTGCCAGGGCCCCTTCACTTCATTAGATCTCCTGCAAGCCTATGGGCTGCTCCGGGAAGTAGCAGCAGACGCCCAACTCTGCCTTCTTGAAAAAGAGCAGCCCCTGAAAGTCAGCCCCACAGGTACAGCAGTGAGCTGCTCAGACCCCTCCCCGGAGCCCGCCCAGTGCGCCCAGAGGTGAGGTGGGGGTGGGGCCCCCACCCAGAGAGGGAACCCGTTGTTCCGGGGCCTCAACAAAGCACTGGACTCAAAGGTCACTTGTTCCAGTCTTGCAGAAATTCATTTTTAACTTTCTGGCTAGGATGTGGAGACTTTTTGTTAGTTTGTTTTTTGTGGTAGTTGCTTTTTAACTGCTTGGTCAGGAGTTTACATTAGGATTGTAGAGAAATTCTTCCTGCCTTAGAAGCTTCCCACACAAATGTGAGTGGGGGAGGGACTCCAACTGGAAAACGACATCGATTCTGAGGGAAAACTGTAGGTGCTAAGCAAAATAAATACATGAAATTTAAAAGACGAAGAAAAGTAAGGAAAAAATGTAAAGACACTCAGACCCGAGAGGCCACCTGCTGAGCCAGAGCCTTCGCACGGCGTTGTGTGGGAGCTGAGCGTCCTCAGTGGAAACACCCCGTTCCTGCTGTTTTCCCTCGATGGGCCCCCTTTTCCACTTCACGGTCTTGGGGGTCTTTGCTCTTCCTGCACACGCTGGCTCCCTGGGCGTGGTCTTCTTGCGTGTTTCTTGGAGGGGGTGGTCCAGTCCACAGCCCGTGTCCCCCGAAGTGAGACTAGCACGGTTCTAGCACCAGCCAGAGAGGGGGCTGTCTGCCCGCGGGCAGCGGGCGCGGGGGGCTCTGTGCAGGTCGTGTGTTCTGCATCTCAGGGGGCGAGGGGTCACCAGCGAGGCCCTGGGTGAACGTTCTCAGCACACGGGTTCTGCTCGGCCCCGGGGCTCTAGTTCACCTCCAGACGTGGCCTCGGTGACCTGGTGGGGGGCTCCAACCAGGCCTCTGTCCTCACAGACAGAGCCCACCTGCTGTTGGGTCAGCAGGCACGGACCGCGTCAGCGTCGCCCAGGCTGTCGCTGGGCGGGGCGTCTCTGTTCTGGAACGGGGCTGGCAGGGGCCGTTTCCACAGGGCAGGAGAGAGGCGAGGCCGGGTCACACCCCGGGCCAGCGTGGGCTCGCAGAGGGGCCGGGAGCAGGACGGTGCCCGCTCCGGGGGCCTAGCTGTCCCCAAGGTGCAGGTGCTCCTGAGGGCCACTGCCCGTGGGCTCCGCTCCCACCTGGGGCAGGGACAGCAGTCCACTGCCCTGGTGAATTTCAAGTTCCAAAGCCGCCAAGTGACCTTCCACATCCGTCGTCTCCTCTCACCTTTAAGCAGACGGGCTCAGAGGGGCAGCGCCTGGAAGGGGAGTGCCCAGAAACCCGCCACACCAGGGTTGCACGGGGCCCCCCATCCGGCCACCCACAGCACGCCCTCCGAGGGCGTGAGGGTCCGTCTGCGGGGTCGCCAGGCCTCGTGCCCAGGCCCTGAGTTCTTTCTGGGTCCTTCCGTGGGCAGGCTCTGAGCTTGGCACGAGGACACAGGTGTCACTCGAGGGCCAGGGAAGAGGCTGTGAGCAAGAACAGGTGTGTGAGGGAGGGGCGGCCACAGCAGGGCCCGGACTGTCTTGGACTTCCCTGCAGCAGGGTCCTCGCTGAGGCCTGGAGGCCACAGACGGGCCCCTGGGATGGCCCGAGTCGGGCAGGGTCCGAGGCAGAGGGGAGCCCCGGGGCGGAGGCCGGCGGCCGCAGCCCTGACCCCCCATGCCCCTGTTCCAGAGTGCAGCTACTTCTCGCCACCCACCACGGTGATCCTGCTCATCCTGCTGTGCTTCGAGGGCCTGCTCTTCCTCATCTTCACATCAGTGATGTTTGGGACGCAGGTGCACTCCATCTGCACAGACGAGACGGTGAGCAGCTGGCCTGTCCACCTGCCGAGGCACAGGGGGCGGGGGAAGCCCCAGGGCAGAGGCTGCTGGGAGGGCCACTTGCAGACCAGGCCTGGGATCCACGGCCACACCCGGTGTGCAGAGCATCTTCCCTGACATGCCGTGACCCCGGTCTTCGGGCACACACGAGTCATCGCCCCTGGGGGGGGGGGGGGATGGCATAGAGGTTCACACCAGGGATGGACCCTGCAGCCTTGGTGATGGGTTCCCTCTGTCACTGGTCCCTCCACCCTCCCACAGTGGTTCCACCCGTGTGCTGATCTGAGCCAGGTGCTCTGCTGAGCACTGGGACACCTCCCACCGGGGGCCGCAGGCCTGGAGACAGGGTGGTGGACAAAGGGCCCGCTTCCCAGAGGAGGTGACTTAACAGCCAGGTCCTGAGGGTGGAGTTGGGAGGCAGCCCCCCACCATCAGTGGACAGCAGGCCCTCGCCAGGCCATGGGGTCACCCCTGCCCGGCCCAGCCCTGGTCCTCGTTCGTCGCTTCTCCCTGGCCCCACCTTCCACCTACCCAGGTCTCCTCCTCTGGGGACCTCAGAGCTGCTAAGCTGGAGCCACCAGCCTGATGCCGCTGCCCCCTCCTGAGGTGTGCAGGAGCCTCCCGGTGCTCAGCCCGTGGCTCTGCCATGGGCATCTCTTCCCGTTTTGTCTCTGGGGCCGTGGAAGCTCCCTGGCCCCTCGGGCAGCAGTGCTCATGTGGGTGAATCCCCTCGGCTGCCAGGGTGCTGTTGTTCGGCCCCATGGGAATTCCCGACGGCTTAGAGGCGGGCGGCTTGTAGCAACTTTTGTAAGAAATAACATTGCCAAAGAGGTTGTGACACAGTGGTGGCCAGGGGCATAGATGCAACTGTGGGTCCCAGTGGTGGCCAAACACGACCAGCTTCTCTGTGGAAGGACTGCAGGGAACGGGAGGGGGCTGCCAGCCCTGCCTGCCCACCCTTGGGTGCTGCCAGCCATGCTGGCGTGCTCTGGGGCAGAAGAGGACAGCGCCCCAGCCTGGCCCCCAGTGTTCCCCTCGAGGGACTGGACTGTGCTGGAGAGGACGGAAGAAAGGAAGGAGGCCCCACAGCTCATGGGAAGTGGGGTCTTCCCCTCACCTCCGTTCTTCCCAGGTCCCTGGGCTGAGGACAGATGCAGGCTGGGCTGGCTGCCCCCTCAGCCCCACAACTGCGCGCCCAGGGCCCAGCCCCCAGCCGGCTCCAGCCAGGCTGCTGCTGTCCTGTCCATCTGGGCAGGGGCACCGTGCCCTGGCCCCGCCCTCTGACCAGCTGCACCGTGGGGCAGTGCAGGCTGTGTGACAGCTGCTGGGGCGGCCGCTCCCCACCGCTCCCCGCGGGAGCCCTGGGAGACATCGACCAGACGGAGGCTGACCGGTCTGTCTGCAGGGCCCTCTAACCTGTACTAATCGCCTCCTTCCTCCTCCGGAGACCGCCCCCTGACGTGGCCTGTCCCTCCTGTCCCCCCTTCTGAGCTGTGCCTCCTGACCCCCAGCTGGGGTGTCTGCCCTTTCACTTGCTTCTTTTTTTTGTCTGCAAAGTGGTCATAGTAACTTCAGACTCCTGTGGGCCTGTCCCCGAAGGACAGCCGTCACCACGGCGCCCACCCGGTCAGGCCCCCGGCCCCCAGCCCCCGAGTGCATGGGCCAGGAAGAACGGCCTGGGTGCTCCTGGTCTGCTTGTTTTCCCGCCCTTCCTGGAGGGACTTACAAATATGTTTTGAAAACACCTTTTATGCGAGAAAGGCAGGAAAATGTATCACGCACTTAGCTTCACGGCTTTAAAAAGGCAGCGCTGACCCCCTTCCCCTGGAGCTAATGGCCACCCCTCCCCCCGAGCCCTGGAGGTGAAGCACTTGACTGAAAGTGTGGTTGTTCTTGTTTTCAGGGAATAGAACAGTTGAAAAAGGAAGAGAGAAGATGGGCTAAAAAAACAAAATGGATGAACATGAAAGCCGTTTTCGGCCACCCCTTCTCTCTAGGCTGGGCCAGCCCCTTTGCCACGCCAGACCAAGGGAAGGCAGACCCGTCCCAGTACGTGGTCTGACGGACCGGCGGCACTGCCTCCCCGGCACAGCCCGACCCAGCACGGCCGCCCGCCGGCCTCGCCACTGCTCACACCGGGAAAGCAAAACCGCTCCTCTAGGAAGTTCTTGTGTCTCGAGTGACATGGCTGAGCCTTGCAGAGAAAAAAAAGTCCCCACGTTTTATTTTTAAAAGGTCATCCTTTCCGTTTTTTGGCAACTGAAGCTGCTCTTCTGTTTTCCTTCTTCAAATCACTTCTCTGGCCTCTGGTCTCCTCTCTGCTGTCCGGCCTGACTAACGCGGAGGGCGCTGTCCGCGGGCTGCGCCCTCCTACTAACTGAGACGTGACGCTGGTGGCGGATGCGGGTGCGGGAGGGCCCGACTCCCCCTGCCCGGGCGGCGGCGGGCGCCCCACTGGGCCTGAAGCCCTGCAGAAGATGGATGCTTGCCCCATGTGGCCCGGCGGGCAGGGGCAGGGCTGGAGCTGTAGGAGGGTCCTGGACACCGTGGCCTCGTCCCCCATGTGGACGGGGTTTGGCTCCTGATCCAGGAAGTCGATTGCCTGCCTTGTGCTCTATGGACGCGGGTGTGTGGTGTGACGGGCGGGTGGAAGGGGTCGTGTTTGCATCCGAGTCACCAGTTACATTCCCTCCGACCAGTTGGAGGAGTGTGAAGGAAGTCTTTCCGGTTCAAAATGCCTTACACAATCAAAAGGAAACTATCGCGAGCTCCATTTCCGTCCGTCTACCCGTCCGCTTACACTCTCGGCCACCTCCCTGCCTCTTGGCGAGAGCGCGCGGCAAGGCGGCTGCCCCTGCACCTGCCGCCCCCCCCCCCCCCCGCCCTGTCTTCCTCGCCTTGTAAGTCGCCAAAGTGGGTTCACATTCTGATCTTTGGACCCTTAAACGTGCACGCACCCACCTCCCGTCCATTCCCACCCGGGAGGCTGCGGCTGCCCTGGCCTGGGTCAGGCCGTGACGCGGGGCGACGTTGCCAGCCCCCCACCCCCAACCCCGACCTGCCCCAGAAGGCGCTTCCTGTGCGAGTCCCCGTTGCCTGCGGATGGCGGGATTGCTGAGGACAGAGTGCCGGCCACGTGCAAACCCCTGAACCTGAGTACTGCCCATCTGAGTTCTCGCACACGGGTTGGGGTTTTTCGTTTGTTTTTCAAGCAGTCACCACAAACCTTTTTTAGCTCTTGCTTGGGGTGGGGTGGGGGATGAGGTCTATCAACCCCAGTCTGCAATGGGGAGACCGTGAATCTAGCCATGTGGTCTTTCAGGGGAGTAAGTGGAACACGCCTCTTTCAGTTTTCTCAGTCAGTGCTTCCACCTGAAGACCAAACGCAATAAAAGTTTTCCAAAACCTGTTCTGACACAGCCCGCTCTCTGACAGCGTTGCCACGCGGGCAGGGTCAGCGAGGGGCCGTCCCCACTGCTTTTACAGGATGTGTGTTCGTGCAGCCTCTCCAGGGAGAGGCCCTTGTCTCTGAAACACGGCAGGTCCCCCTCTGGAGCAAGCTTGCCCCGCCAGCCACTGCGGCCTGGTCCCTCCCTGCGCTCTTGGCTCTCAGCTGCTACAGAAAACACCACTTGGCTCTCAGCTGCTACAGGTCTGCACTTTGCCTCCAGCGTTGGGCCTCGGGGAGAGGTCCCTGCCCCCCTCGGTGTTGACCCAGGGCACTGCTGGCCTCGGTCAGCTCCCAGGACTTGCTCCTGCTGTGCTGGGTGCTGCAGTGGTACATGATGTCTATTTTTAAATCAAGAGTTTAATTTTTTTTTAGAGGGGAAGGGGTGGAACAAGACATCGCTGTGAGAGAGAAACATCAATCCGTTGCCTCTCACATGGCCCCAACTGGGGACCTGGTCCAGAACCAGGCATGTGTCCTGACCGGGAATCAAACCTGCGGCCTTTCGCCTTGTGAGACGGCACCTAACCCCCTGTGCCTCACCAGCCAGGGTCACTTTTATTTTTTTAAACCATTAACTTAGGGCTGTGGAAGAAGTGTGGCTGTTAAATGACTCATGAGTGGCCTGAGGACTCCAGCCCTGCTTACGCCCCTCACGGGTCTTCCCTGCGGAGGCAGCCGCACTGCACTGGCCCTCTCACTACGGGAGGGAGACTGGTCTCCAGCCCTCGTCCACCCAGGAGGAGAGGGCCCTCTCCTCAGTATTCCCGGGCGTCTGGGAAAGAGGCCCTATCTCCGTACAAAGGTGGCCCAGCTGTTGGCTTCGGCCCAGGAGCCAGACAGCACTGATGGGCACGCACGTGGGAAATGGGTCGGTGTAGCCCCAGTCCATCAGAATGTGGCCTCTGCAGAGCAGAAGGCAGCAAAGAAGAGGGAGGTGATGTGACTCATTGAATTAGGGGACCCCATGTTGGTAGCAACCAGACCAAACGCAAAAGGCCCAGGTCCAGACAAGCCTGCAGGTCTGTGTGGGATTGGGGACCCCCCACTCACCGGGAGTTTGGGTGGGTACTCGGGTGCCAAGTGTCCCATTCAGCAAGAGCACTGCATCTCTGATACATCTTTCCTGGAAGAACTGGGAGTGAGACCCAAGTTACCAGTTTTTGCTCATTGTGGCTAGGCTGCTTAGAAAGTTAAAATCCGCCTTCCTGCTCCAGGAAGCTTCCAGGTGAGGTCAATTAAGAAACTGTTGTTACGCTCTGTGGGGTGTCACGCAGGAAGCCCAGACCTTGGGAGGCTGGGTTTTAAGTTGAGCTGGTTTTAAGACTTAACGATGCATCAGGCTAAAGGGTGAGCCAGCCAGTAGAAGCAAGGGGTCTCGACCTAGAAGGGGCCTTTAAAAGTGAGGGGACCAAAGGCGGCAAGGTTTTAATAGAATCCCTCTCGAGACTCTTGACTGTGTGGCACCCAGACCCCCACCAGCAGCAGCGGCCCCCCCTGGGAACTTGTTAGAGATGCCCATCCTCAGGCCCCACTCTGAGGGTCCCACCCAGTGATCCGGATTTCAGTGGCCTTGCCGTGATTCTGACACGCGCTCCAGTCTGAAGTGCACGTGGGGACCTCGGGGTGGCCCCGCAGGTTGCCCGGCCTGCTGCTGGGCGCCCTGAGCCCCTCCCCCCGCAGCCTCCTCGCCAGCTGAGTGCTGGGACCAGCAGAGGCGCCTGCAGGGAGTCACGGGGTCCCTGTGGCCAGCAGCCCCGCACTTATCTCGTTTGTCGGCTGAGTCTCTGGACCCAGGGGCCCTGTGGGTGAACTGTCTGGGGGGGGGCATAGAGTGCGGTCCTCCGAGCAGGAGCGGTGGCTCCAAATGGTCCGTAGCAGAGCCTGGGCAGAGCCCACGCCCTGGCCTGCGGTGTCCACGGAGACTGCCACGCACACGGGGCTCTGTGCCTCAGCTGAGCCCCAACAGAGCACGTACCCAAGTCTCTGCCTCCCTTGGGCCCTTGGTCTCGATACATTCATTTTGGGGCGTTGTTGGGTTTGTTTACAGATCACAGCTCGCGCACCCCTCGGACCAACAAGGCCCAAAAGGCCCACGTCACACACTTGCCTGCAAGAGGTGCTGGTTTGGGCTGCTGCCCTTACCTGGAGCCCACCGCTGTGGGTTGCTTTGGCCTGATGTGTGTGTGACTGTGCCCTCTGCAGACCTCCAGCTTCAGAACTTGGCCTTCAGCCGGGTGGCTCAGTTGGTCAGAGTGTAGTCCTGATATGCCCAGCTGTGGGTTCAGTCCCCGGTTAGGGCTCATACAAGGATCAACCAACGAATGCATAAATCTGTAGAACAACGAATCAATGTCTGTCTCTGTCAAATCAATTTAAAAAAAAGAACTTTGCTTTCAGGACACTTAAATCCACACAAAACTCAAAATTGAGTCTTTTCAGGAAAAACTAACCCCACAGGCTCCTCCTGAACCTGAGGGTTCAGAACCTGGGGCCTTGTACGCTGCAGACTTGTTGGAATTTCTTCTCTCCAGACTCAGAGCTGACACTGAACCACGGAGGAACTTCATCCGGGGAACATTCCCTCGGGCTCGGGGAGGAGGCGGGACGAGTGCTGGTCGGAAGTGTGCAGAGGGAGTGGGCGCCAGTAGCCCCGGGGGCCCTCTGGCCTCACTTCCCTCCCAGCTTTGCTCTGCCTTCAGCACCGGCAGAGCCAGAGTGTGCGGGAGGATGGAGACGACTCGGGCAGACGGAGAAGACCCCAGCGCAAGTCCCAGTTCTGATGCGTGGGCAGCAGGGCGAGCGCTGGCCACTGTCACGGCCTCTCAGCCTCTGTCTGCCCATCTGCCAAGTGCGACACTGAGCCCACCTCCTCTCTGGCTGGTTGTGAGAACCCACGGTCGTGGCTTTGAGGGAGCCCGGTCGGGGTGGATACAGCTCACCTGCCGTTTCTGCTGCTCCCTGGGCAGCCACGTGCTGACGTCCCAATACCCTGCAATTGTGGTTTAAACCCCCCTCCTAACACACTGCGGATGGTCACCCAAGAGAGTCATGCAGGGTCCCCAAAGCAAGTCGCCTCAGCGGGCCACTGCCCTCTGCTCAGCAGGGCAGACTAGCGGGGGCCAGGCCAGGAGCCACGTGGCACCCCCACTCTGGGCCCAGGTGGGGCTCCTTCGACACTGCCAATGAGACCCATTTACTGAAACAGCTGCATCTGTTCTGATTATATAAGGGACGCCTGTGTGTTGGTGGGAACCTGGAACGTGTGGGGAGTTTGCAGAAATAAATAAATGTGAAACTCCTCCCCCAAAGGGAATCTCAGGTTCCACGAGGAGGTCTGTGTCCCTTGTCACGAGGACAGGATTTTCCGATGTCATGTAAAAATGTACTAACCCCACTCATCATAATCGTGTAGTGTCCGGCTTTATACACTAAGTTACGTAGCCGTCACTGTTAGACATTTTGCTTGCTCCTTACTCTTACTCACTGTCCAGGACTGCACTGCACAAAGTTGTGTCTGACTCTCTTAGCTTTTATTGTGAAATAACTTGAGACTTCACAAGTGGTGAAAACAGTAGGAGGAGCTCCCACAGCCCCACGGTCAGTGTTTCCAATGGAAACATTTTATACAACCAACCAGCCAACCGAGAGACCTGGAAACGCATGGATCCAACACTGGTAGCCGACCTGCGAGCTTTATTCAGGTCTCCTGGCCGTCCCACGGATGTCCTTTGGGTCCTGGGAAGCGCACGTGTCGCGCATCACGCCTCTAGTCCCCGAGGGTCTGCCAGAGCTCCTCGTCTTCCTGAACTTTTTTTTTTAGGTGACATTCACACCACATAGTTAACCACTTTAAAGTGCGTCTCTGCCATTCACTGCTTTCATAACATTGTACAACCACCACTTCTACCCGGTTCTAAAACATTTTCATCGGAGTTGAACCCTTGAAGACTACGAGCCTCAATTTCTGAGAACTCGCCTCACTGCGTCTGTCTCCTCGGGGTTGGTGTTTGGGCGGCAACCGGGCTGGTGGGCTGTGCCTTTCCCTGCACAGGTGCCATTAGCTGTGACTTGGGTGAGGTGATACCTGCAAAGTTTCTCTACCGGAAAGTCACTGTTTTGTCCTTTGTAATTAATAAGTATCTTATGAGGGGATACTTTGAAATCAAATTCTTTAAGCCACAATGTTTTCAAAAGCCAAGAAATGTAAACCTCCAAGCCGGTGTTGGAAAGAGGTGGAGAACGGCCCAGGGTGCGGCTGGATCTGTGTGTGCCTCAGTTTCTCTTTCTGCATAACAGAAGGAATGAGACCAGTTACGTAGGGTCTTGTGTGGAAAGGAGAAAAAACCTAGAACTAGGGACTCGGCGATTGCTCCGCGGTGGGAGGCGTGAATGAGCCCGAACCGGCAGCGTGTCCGTCCCCTTGGTTCCCAGAGGAGGTGGAGAAGGCAGAGTCCCGGTCCTCCCTGCTGGGGGTCAAAGCCCCTGTGGAGGGTGCCGTGGGCTTTTTCTGACCTGGGGCTTCTCCCTTTACCCAACACTCTCTTTCTGTGGCCCGGTGGCTGAGGTGGCGCAGCCGACACCCGGAGGCAGGTGAGTGGGCAGCCTGGGACAGGCCGCAGGGTGCCCACCGCATGAGCAGGCCCCACACCGACCTTCGCCCCCCGCGTCGGCCCCGAGCGCCCTCTGGCCGCCTGCTGCATGTTGTCCGGAGCCACACGCCTCTGCCTCCTCTCCTCACATGCTGTTTGTACCCGATCTGTCCCCTTCACCCTGTCACCTCCATGCTAAGCTGGCCATGTGCCCTGCCTGCCGTGGGAGAGTGGCCCAGAATGCTGGGGGGGGGGGTCACCTTTTCAGTGGTCTCAAGACAGGTGGCCCAGCTCACGCCCCAGGGGCCTCAGGTGCTGTTCCTTGGCCCCTCACCTGCCGGGCCCCTGGGCACAGCTGGCCCCACTTAGCGAGGCTCCCACCCCTGGGGGGGCAGCCAGCCCGGGTCTCGTGAAAGCCCTGCTTGCTGGGACCCTCCACCCCGCTCCCCACTGCACCCCGTCAGCCCTCTGAGGGGCGTCAGTGCTCTGCTGTGCCAGGTTTGGGGGGCCGTGGAGGGGCACAGCCTGTCCCATGCTGCTGACCCTCCTGACCCCCTTGTCTCCCCAGGGCATTGAGCGCCTCAAACGAAAGCACCAGCCCAGGGAGCACCAGGGCAGCTGGGCGACGGTGCAAGAGACCTTCGGTGGGGCCTTCTCCCCGAACTGGTTCAACCCCTTCTCTGGCCCGTGCCACCCAGAGCTGCTGAACGACGGGGGCTGGGTGCGACAGGCGGAGCCCGCGTCGGACCACACGGCGTCGGAGGAAACGTCGGAGGCACAGCTGCAGGAGAGGAAGTCGGAGGACTCGGCGGAGGTGACAGATGAGTGACGCTGTCGTGCGGAGGAGCCGCCGTCCACCGGCTCCTGGGAACCACGCAGTCCCCGATCCCCACGGCCACTCCCTGGGCACTGCCGTGGGCAGCCCTCCTTCCTCTCCCCATGGGGGGCCAGGTGACTGGAGGACAAGAGGCCGTCTCTGAGTTCACGGGAGAAGAGTGTCGGGGCGGGACTGCGGGGAGATGCTCTCCCCCCCGCCCCCAGGCGCCCCTCAGCCTCACCCAGCGAAGGGGGTTCCGGATGGGGCCTGGAGCAGGAAAGAACTTGCCTTTGGTTTTCTCCGGACGCTCCGTGCAGAGGGCGCCCCCTGCTGCCTGCCCAGGCCAGGGGCAAGCCCAAAGCCCCATCTCCCTGCAAGCCCGCTGACCCAAGGCCAGCGGGTCCCCACACCCACACAATGCCCACGGTCCCAGTTAGGACAGGAGCACTAAACTCGGCTCCCATCCCCTGGACCTGGAGCCGTCACTGGTCCTGCCTTGAGGCTACAATTTGTCCCTTCCCAGGTGGGTGGCAGGGGCCCACTTAGGGCCCCTGGGGAGTCTCCGGCCTGCCCCACGGGAACCTTTACTCGCCCTCCTGAAGGAAGTTGAACCACCCATGGGCCACAACTGACAGAAATCTGGCCTGTGTTTCGCCTCACTTCTCCCAAGATCTTGCCGCTCTTGTCTCTGGGTGGGCGGGAGGGGGCCAGGCCTGCCAGGAAGACAGACCAACCCCCCCCCACACCCCCACACAATCAGGAGGCTGGGACCCCGTCACCCCACGAAGGCTGAAGGCCTGAGCATGGAGAACGCTGCCAGTCACTGGGAAAGCACCTCCTGTGCAGAGGGGCTCGGCCCCGGTCCAGTACAAGAGTGGGTCCCGCAGCCCTCCCTCCCCGCAGAGGCCCGTTCTCTCAGTGCACTGCCCGACCTAGTGCAGTGTGTCAGCTCCCCTCCCCCGCTCCAGACGGGAGCGCATGCCCTGGGAACCAGGGGCCTGCAGCCCCTGCTGACCCCCCAGGCTCGGGGCTCAGCGCTAAGGGGCCGGCCCCCTGTCCTGACGGCTGCTCAGAGCGCCCTGCCAAGTCCCAGGAGAGGGTGGTGGCGGGGCTCTGGCACTTACTAACGCCTGCGAGGGCGGCCCTGGCCAGCCCTGGGGCCCGTTGACGTGGTGCCAGGGCGGGGGCAGCGGCTCTCAAGTCGGGGGAGCCGTTCTCCGAGGTGGGGGCAGCGGCTGTGCTGACTCAGAAGGCAGCCCCGGGGGTCAGCAGGGCGGATTGCGCAGCAGACTCCACACCAGGGGGGGACTCAGTGCTGTCCCTGAAGAGCCTGCGATAGACCTCAGATTAAGCAGAGGATTTGCCGACCTCTGCAGAGCCCAGGCCAGGTCCAGGGGGTGTGCTGGATAAACCCCGGGTCCCCAACATGCCTGAAACTGCTCTTCCTCAGGATCTTGGCCCCAAAGCTATTCCCTGTGCAGACCCTTGGTGGGCAGGCACTGAACCTGCGCCCATCCCTGTGCCAGGCCTCAACCGTGGCAGAGCCCCTCCTGGGAGGGCTGGACCGTGGGCCTCATGTCCTCCTCACACCAGTGACACAGTGGCCATCTCTGGTGGCTGTCGCCAGCCTAACATTCCACCTAGCCGCTAATGGAAAGCGCTGCAGCTTACTCCAAACCATTTTGTCCTGCTGGGCGGGAGGCCGGCACCTGCGCCTTCCTCTCAATAAAAGGCTCTTTGCGTGACCTCGGTGGCTGGAGCCTCCCGTCTTTGGCAGCAGATCCCAGTCCAGGCCCCAGGTGGCATCCTTCCTCAGGGTCGCCTCAAGCCTCTGTCCCCCTACTTCCCGTGTGGGAGACGAGTGTCACACACCGGCACCGGCTGCATGTGGGCAGTCACTAACTAGACCTTTTAGCAGAAGGAAGAATTGTCTTGCGAGCAGTGAGCACGTATTGAGAACCTACTGTGTGTCAGGGAGCTGAGCATCTGGGGCAAGAGCACCCAGCCCACCACCCAAATGTCATGTACATTACAAACTTTCACTCAACTCACACACAGGCCCATGCCAGGAAGTGTAACCTTGATGGTTACAGCCTTTGGAGGAGGGGATGGGTATCCCCAACAGGGCCCCGAATAAAGAAGCCTGACCCCTTGGAGAGGGAGTCCCCAGACCTGGGAAGTTTGGAGGATCTAATGGCTCCCCCAAAGCCCACCTGACAACCCCCCCCCCCAAGATGCTAAGAAGCCTGTTCGCTGGAAGAAGCAGCCCTGGGACCAGTGCTCTTGAAGCAGTGGCGTTTAATGAAGGGCATTTCAGTCATCTGAGCAAGTCTGGAGGGTGGAGCAGGAAGGGCTTCCCAGGCCCGCGGCAGCTGTCGAATGTGGAGTCTCCCTCCCCTGGGCCAGCCTGAGGCTTCTGAGAAAGGGGACAGGCTCCTCCTGGAGTCTAGAGTTTTCTACATGAAGATCACATCACCTTTGAACCGTGGGAACCTTTCCTCTTCTTTCTAGTGGCCTGCCCTTCTCCTCGTGGCCTGGGAAGTCCTAGCACCAGAACTCCGGCTACAGCTGCCGGTGACACGTGGGGTGCTGGTGGAAGCCGCTGTCCCATTCATTCCTGACCCTGGGGGGCAGCTCTCCACGTTTCACCGCTGTGTGGGGTGTTTGCTGTGAGCTTGTCACACTGAGAAAGTTTCCTTCCAATCCTAGTTGTTGAATGTTCTGATCAGGAAAGGATGTTGGCCCACTATTCCTCCCACCCCTCAATGCTGCTCTCGTCAGTCTTCTCTGTCCTGAACCGGTGGCCATTTCCCCATCTCCCCGTTATATGACCCTCAGCATTAGCCTGGAGGACCGCAGCCTTTTCAGGTGCTCCCAGGACAGCACACTTGCCTGGTTGTCCCACCCCTCCACCGTCTGCTTGCTCATCCAGCTAGTCCTCCACGTCTCCCTGACTTCTAAACACTGGGGTGCCCGGGGCTTGATCCTGGGGGTATTAAGAAGGCAGCAAGAGAAGTTGGGGAGAGGTGGGGTGGGGCCAGATCCCAATCCGCAGGAGCCATGGAAGTTCCAGAAAGCCCACCTATCCCTATGCAGTGAGTGAGAAGTGGAGGGAAATGAAGACGCTACGTGCACAGAGAGGAGGGACGGGCCTGGACGTGACCCCTCTCCCCTCCAGCCTCCTGGCCTAAGTCCCTTCCAACTACAGGGAATGTTTGAAGACCTGGGGCCAGCAGTCAGGTTTGGGTGGGCCGAGAAGGCTCTCGGACACCCAGGGGAGCCCCGGCGGAACCGGAGCAGGTGAGCACCACACTTGGGGCCATGCATGGGGACAGTTCGTGGGCAGCATTGACTCTGAACTAGGACTACAATCACATGGTACGAGACACGAATCTCCCAAGGATCTGGGAAAGGTCATCCAGGGACAGAGGGGCCTATGGGTGAAGTGTGGGGTGGAGCCACCTCTGCGCCAATTTCCTTTCCTAAGAAGGAAAATAAAACCAGGTCCCCAAAGCGAGGTCCAGCTTCCCTCCGTGAGTACCGAGAGCAGGCACGGACCCTCCTGGATTTGAGGAGCGCCTGCCTGGCCGACATCACAAGGGACCGTGCACCTGGCAGGCCCAGCAGGTGGGGGCCTGACAACTGCACTCCAGGAACTGCAACTCCAAAAAACAGAAAAGGAAAATAAACGTAGGAAAGAATTAGGATCCTGGACCTGGTGGTTTTCACTTACAAAAGGGCAGAAGTCTCACTTCTCCTGCCAAAACTCAGAAGCATGACCCAGAAAGCCCATCACAACGGCACAAAGTTGTCAGAAAAGCCCCGCCAGTCACTGACTCCAGTGAAACGGGCCTGGCCTTTGTCGGGCCACAGCGCTGCGATGACAGCATGGTTCCAGTCTGTCCACACAGCAGACCAGCCCAGGGTCCCAGCATCTGCCGAGGCCCCTGGGTGGCCCGGGAGGGCGAGCACCGAAGCACGTGCAGAGGCACCAAGTCGCGCCAGGCAGCGTCCTGCTGTGCGAGGTTCCCCTCAGAAGCCAGGGCTGTCCACCCCCAAGGCCACTGGGCAGAGCCTGCTGCCCTAGGCAGCATCTCCCTTTGCTTGACGGTGGGAAGGCTGCACCCCAGACCACCTGGGAGGGGGCCCCACACTCCAGCCCCCACCTGAGCCACCACCACTGTCTCTCCAGCGGATCCACGCAGCCACCGACGCTACTGCTGCTTGTGAGAAAGGGCCTCCTGGGTCAGCGGCAGGCTCCTGTGGATCAGGATGAGCCCGCACAGGATGAGGAACACGCCTCCCCACCACAGGACCTCCTGGCACTCGCCGTACAGCAGGAAACCCAGGCAGGCCTGCGGGACAGAGACGGCTGTGAGGCCCGGAGACACGGCCAGTGGACCGGCCCTGCTCCCCAGTGGCTGGCTGCCCTCCTAGGGCAGGAGGGAAGGCCTGGAGCCACAAATCTTGGGCTGGAAACCTTGCTGTCACCTTCAGCAAGTCACTCTACTCATTGTGGCCGCACCTGCAGAAGTGGGGAGAGCGCCTTCCTCAGGGCGTCGGACCCCAGCCAAGTGCACAAGACCAGCAGAGGCCGGCAGCTGGTACCTACCCACCAACCCGAGCTGGCCCACTGTGTCCTCCCTCCCCTCCTGCAGGACTGACTGGGCTCAGCCCACCTGGCTGCCCTCAGGCCACTGGGGGAGGGGACCTAGGCCCTCCACATCTCACACTGGAGCGGGCAGGCCCCTAGGAGACACCGGGTGGTACACAGGAGAGAAGGAGGGCTGCGGCCTGGAGCCTCGGTACACAGGGTGGCCTCACCGTTGGACTTCATGCTCATCTAACTCAGAATTCCTCGGTTTGAGACCAGAGGAAGGGCCACCAGGGGTCAAGCCACAGCCCACCCTCTGCTTCGGTCCCTGACCCTTCTCCTATCCAGGGGAGCAGGGGTCACCCAAGGACCCCCAACCCAGAATGCATGTTTGGGACAGGGGTATGGCACCCTCTGATTACTCACTGAGCTGAGGATGTTTGAAAAGGTCACTGTGACAGATGCAACAGCTGAAGACATGGAGAAACTGAGGCCCCGGCTGAAGAACGTCCACATCAGCGAGTTGGTGGCAGCCATCAGAGCGATGCCCAAGGCGCAGAAGCCCACATGCACCTAAAAGAGAAGGCATCACTGTGGCCAGGCCCGGCCCCTCACAGCACACCAGGGTCACGGTCACTGGCATCTGGGCCCTCACTGAGACCCCACTACAGTCCAGCAGAGCCTCAGAGCTTTCCTACCAGGACTTCACTTAGCCCTCAGTGGGCGGCGCGTCCCTTTTATGGCTGAAACAAACTCAGATGATGCTTACTTGGCCACCTTCCTGGCCATGTGACCTGGGGCAGTACACTGCTGACCCGCAACCAGTGCTTTCTACTGAACACCAGTCTTCGTAGGCCCCACAGTGGCCAGCACAGGAAGTTCAATCCCCAGGGGCCATGCAGTTTTTGTTGGATGTGAGGTACGAGTCCATGGGGGCAGAGTCCCCATCCCCCCCTGGATCAGGCAGAGCGCGCCTCTGCTGGGCTCTCCCTGTTCTGTGTAGGCCACACACCCCAGGCACCCCCGAGCTGTCACTCTGGCAGGCCCTGTGCTGAGTGTTCTAAGTGTAGCCTCCTGTATTCCTTACCCTCTTTTCACAGACGGAGAACCTGAGGCACTAGGTAACTTGCCTGAAGTGCCACAGGGAGCCACCAGGATTCAAACCCAGGCTGGATGGCTCTACACTCTTAGCCAGGACAGAGCCCTGAGCCGGGAAAACCACCTGAGACTATACACCTGGTGGTCCCAGGCATCACCTGGAGAACGTGCAGAGTCTCCTATCTCTCTCTTTTTATTTTTTAAAGTATTTTGGAGGGGAAGGCGGGGTGAAAGAGAGGGAAACATCAATGTGTTGCCTCTCACATACCCCAAATGGGGACCCCTCCACAACCCAGGCATGTGCCCTGGACTAGGTCCCCAGGCCAGAGCTCAATCCACTGAGCCACACCCCCCAGGGGTCGCTCTAGCGCGCACTCTCTCTCTCTAAAGGTAACAGCCTTGAGAGGAGAGAGGATCTTCAGAATTCAGAAGCCTTCCACACAAAGGACCCAGAGACTCTGCGTGGTTTGGAGGTAGTAGCCCCCCTGCAGACAGGCAGTTCCTCGGGCCCCCTGGATTAGCCCCTAACTAGGCTTAAACGTACAGAATCAGCCCGTCCCCAGTGCAGGGCAGGGTCTAAACCTGGGTTGCAGACTCGGGATGGGCGTGGCAAAATGGTCCAGGTCAACAGGAGCAGGAAGGCAGTTTATGGGCTCTCAACATCACGGAATATCCAGAACGCTTCCCAAACTCTCCAGTTTTCTGGCAGCAGGGCAGACAGGCCAAAACACCCGTTAATTATGGAATAAAGAGATGGACAACAGGCTGCTCACCTTGAGTCACGTGGAGAGAAATGTTCAAATACACGGGGCTTAAAATAAGAGGCAGAGAGTAGGTGCGCGTCTTCCCTGAGAGCGAGCTAGCCCCATCAGAGGACAGATTTTAGGTCCTCGACCTCTCCTACAGCCTACGAGGGATGCTCTCACCCCAGATGGCTGCAGCGCCCCGCTGCGGACGCGGCCGAACAGAACCGCGCGGCTGACGGGACCCCTACGGCTCCAACCCCGCCCCACTCGGAGCACTGCGACTCCGCAGCGCCCCTCCGCAGCCCAGACCACCAGCCCGCCCCGCCCGCCGCGGCTGCGCCCCGGGCTCCACCTCGCTGCTGAAGGCCAGCTTGGCGGAGGCGGCGGCCAGGGCCCCGAACGCGCCAGCACACAAGCAGTTGAACACGCCCCAAAAGCGGCGCCGCATCGCGCCCGCCTGGAGGTGCAGAGGGAACCCCGCTGGGGTATCAGGGTAGGTGGCCACTGCACCCGCAGCCATGGTGCCCACCACCACCTCTCCTCGAGCCCGTCTGGCCACCACCCAAAGGGCTAGGCGCGCGCTGCGATTGGACGGCGGCCTCACGTGATGCAGCACTCATGTGAGCGGGAAGGCCAATGCGGGCCTTGAAAGGGCCTTCTGTGGGCGGAGCTACCAAAGGCGGGGCGGAGCCGGTGGGGGCGGGGCCGGGTGTCTGGCTCGGTGGTTGCTGTTGTAGAATTTGGGGCCCCACAGTTTCAGTCCTAGCCACTTGGTGTGCCCGGCATCGGCTTCCCCTGGGCAGGTGTTAAAAATGCCGCATCCCAGGCCTCGTCCCACACTCATCGAATCAAAATCTGCATTTTGACGAGACGCCCTCGGGGTTCACCTGCACTTTCCACGCTGAGAAGTGCCAAATGGAGAGGTGCTTCGGCAGAGGGCGCTAGAGACCGCCAGACTCAGCGAGAAGGCGGGCTCGGACGAGGGTTTCGGACAAATCAAAAGGCCTAGGTGTATACACGCTCATTGCAGGATATTTAGAAAAGATGTCATCCATCAGTAACCACGCCACTCAGATAATCACAGTTAACATTAATTTCCCGTGCACTTAAAGATGTTTAAAAGGTTTTCGTTTAAGAAGTATTTAGTATATGTCTGAAAATAAAATGCTGTTGAAATGCATTTTGCTGTGTGATGTGCATTATTTTGCCCAAATTTTTGAGGAAAAAATATGGATATGTATTATACATGGGAGTGCATTACACACAGCAAAATATGGCATGAAGGGAAAAAATGCAAAACGAAAAAAATAAAAACTATATGGACTATTTCCACACTCCAGGAAAATCACGGTTATAGGTTACTTTTTCTCTGTGCATATTTAGTTTTATATATAGCACATATTTAAAAAATTTACATATAGGGCCCTGGCTGGTGTGGTTCAGTGGCTTGAGTGCCAGCCTGGGAACCTTAAAGAGTGGCTGGTTTGATTTCCAGTGAGGACACATGCCTGGGTTGCCAGCCAGGTCTCCAGTGGGGGGCATGTGAAAGGCAACCACACATTGATGTTTCTCTTCCATTCTCCTTTCCCCTCTCTAAAAATAAATGAAATCTTCTTAAAAATAAAAAGTTTTTATAAATGTCCCATATAGGTATGGGACTTTTTGAAAACGTGATTCACAGTGAACATACTTCAGCAATCTTTTTTTTTATCCATCTGGGAAGTTTTTGTGGAAGTCCTTCCTTGCCACCCTCTCTCACAGGGTGGTTTTGTGACTCAAATGAAAGCATGGATAACGCCGATAACTCCTCCTTCTGCAGTTGAGGAAGGAGCCGTGCTGGTGCAGGTGTTCTGGAGGTCCAGGACTCACGGCGGGTTCTTGGCTTCACCGAGGGAAGAATTCTGACTCGGGCCAGCATAGAGATTAAAGTGAAAGACAGTTTATTAGTGAAGCTGGGAGACAGGCAGTGGCTACCCCACAGACAGAGCAGCCCTTCCACGGTGCGATTTACTTCTTTCATTGAGGCTCATTTAATGCAGAGGAAGGGCAGTAGACACGGGGAATAGTCAGGATTTTCAGGGTGTGGGGAGACTTCTCAGAAAAACTCTGTTGGCTGTTGGCCATTTGGTCTTTATATGGGCTTCCCCCTCCAGCCACGGTAGCATGGGGTGTCTAATGCTAATGTATTACAAGGAGCCTGTAGAGGATAGGGGCTACTGGGAGGTGAAAGTAGTCAGCATGTTGGATCCAGCAAGACTTCAGCAGGTTCTAAGCCCTGAATCCAGTTGAGGGGTTGGCCTTACTATCTCCATGATAGTCAGTGTAGCCCTTATGGTTACAGCCGTTTCAACACATACCCTATCTCAATGCCCAGCTCAAAGATGATCCTCTCTCTAATGTTTGTTACCTGAAGGTTACAGGAAATCAAGTGGTGTTGCACCTGATCAACTCTTGCTTTAAAGACTACAAAACGAACTTTCTTAGAACAATGCCCCCACTAGCGTCTCTGCTCCTCCTCCTCTGTAAAGCCGCCTGTGCTACCCGCTACCTGGGCACCAGTTCCTGTCGGCCTCCCTGCTGGCCTGCAAGCTCCTGGAGGGCAGGGACAACTTTCTTTCTTCTCTAGGTCCCCAGTGCCCAGCACTGGGAGTGATGGTTGGCCACTCAGCTGGGAAGTGACATCTGCCTCCTGGACAAAAGCTCTTATCACCTACTAGGAACCTTGTTAAAATGCAATGCAAATTCTGATTCAGGTCTGGACCTGGGTTGAGATTCCCACGTTTCTAACAGGTTTGCAGAAGCTGCAGGTCGGAGCAGCAAGGCTCTCTGTCGCCTTCAGCGCACTTGGAGGCCTTGCAACATACCGGCCTCCCTGGCTGGGCTGTCAGCACAGAAGCTGCGTGTGTTTTCTCCTTTTCCTGCTACAGTGCCCAGAACTGCAACCAGCTCATGTCCTCACTACAAATGTTTGAACAGACTATGTGTTTGTCACTGTGGGTAGTTAGTTAGTTACTATTAAAGGAAGAAAGCAAAGGGAATCTGACGTTGTTGAGCATAATCAACCAGGAAGCATGAGCCTGTTTGCTTCACCAGGAAGCTACAGCCTCACACACTCCAGTGGATCACAGCATTGCCTTGCCAAGGATTAACAACCCTCTCTTTGCCGCCCCAGCAGGGATTGCTGGGGGAGCAAGGGGAGGTAAACACATTCACAATAGAAGTCAAAATGGCACAGGGGGAGGTGCTTGACCATAAAGACCTGTCACTCTGACCTGGGAAAGGAATCAAGTGGTGGGGGGTGGATCCATCAGAAGCCCTGGAAAGTTGGGGAGCTGACTGGTTCTTCTGAAAAAGTGCCTGGTCTGTCCCAAGATAAGATCACTCAGTTCAACAAAGAAGCCCACTCTCTCTGCCAATGCCCCCCACACACACACACCAGGAACCTGTGCTTGTGCCATTCATGTGTGCCATCTCTCTCCATAACCGTGTGGCCCTAGCAGCAGTGTGGATGAGGCTGCCCAGACTCCAAATGCAGGCTCTGGGTGAGAGCCTGGGCACAGCAGCGCAGCTGGAACAGCGCTAAGATACCTGGTTGGGGATGGAGACTGTGCGGCAGCCACCTGCAGGCTCCAGAGGACTAAGCTTTAAAATGAAACAGAAACTCTGGATACAGGCCTTTGGTTTCGACTTTTTCCACGGTGGGGACAGAGATGGGACACAGAGACAGCAGCCTTCTAGTTCCACCTGGAAAGTCCTACCACACCCATCCCCCATGCATGGGTCTGTGGAATGCTTTCCTCGCAATCCCCACTTCCACCGCCAACGCTCTGATTATAAAAAGTAAAATTTAAAAACTTACCAATAGCAATGTGATGCAAACTGGAACTGGGACAGTGTGGACAGGAAGGGCACTTCATCCCACATTTATCCAAAAAGCAATGAAAACAAACCTCCAAGAAGACTGATGGGCAGAAGATGCCTACTTGTGCATCGTCAAGAGACCCATCAAACCATCCCACCTTTTAAGAGCTAGAAGTCACCTCAGGGGCAAAGGAGGGAATTTAACTGTGTGAAGCCCCTGGTGGAAGACAGCAGGAATGGGTAGGGCCTGTGAACATGGGGACTGAATGTCTTCTCCATTGCCCTCTCCAACCTCGCCTTTTCTCTCCTTTCATGCTGTGTCCATTTCTGTCTCTTTTTTGCTCTGGTCAGTTAAAAAATGAGCACATACTCTAGTCCAGGCCCTGTTGCTAAGCAGCAGAGTTGCCAGGGTGACCAAGATCCCGGCCCTCCCTGGGTTCTGGCTTTTTGCAAAAGCCAGAACTCCAGTTCTCCTTCCTGAGCTGGCCCGAGGGTCTCTCCCCAACCTTGCTGAGTGAAGTTATGTGTTGAATTGTGTCTGTCCTCAGCACTCGTGAATGCGACCTTATTTGGAAATGGGGTCACCACAGATGTAATCAAATTAAGATGAGGTCATTAGGGCAGGCCCTAATCTAATGTCCTTCTAAGCAGAACCAGAGACACAGGGCAGGAGGAATGTACAAGCCAAGGAACACCAAGGGCTGCCGGCGAGGCCACACACCACGAGGCACAGAACGCACTGTCCCTCGGAGCCCTGAGAGACTAGCTTTAGCACCGCCTTGATTTTGGACTTCGGGCCTCCAGAACTGAGAGAATAAATTGTTTTAAAACACCCTTCTCCCACCTCCAGGGCAGGCAAAGTGTCCACTTCCTACCTGACACTGACTTCCAAGTTCCATTTTGTTTCTGGCCCTTAGGGATTTAGGATTATTTATTCCTTGAGAGTTCAACTAGGCACTGCTGTTTAAAGGATTCTATTTATTTTTAGATAGAGGAAAAGGGAGGGAGAAAAAGAGGAACATTAATGTGCAAGAAAAACATAGATCGGGTGGTTGCTTCTTGCACACTCCCAACTGGGGACCTGGCCTGCAACCCCGGCTTGTGCCCTGACCGAGAATTGATCCCAGGAATTGATGGCCAACCCACTGAGCAGCACTGGTCAGGGTGCATTAATGGCTTAAAAATCGTTTTTCTTCAGCTTTATTGAGGTGGGATTTACATACCATATTGAATGCAGTTTAATTTTCAGTAATTTTAAAGAGCTGTGCAGTTGTCACCACAAGCCAGTTCCAAAACATTCCACCACATCAGAAGGTTCCCTTGGGGCCCAGTCATCCCCACTCGCCTCCCACCCCTGCTCCAGACACCTCCCTTACACGGAGTCATACGGCCGGTGGCCTGTGAAGTCTGACTTTTCAGGAAGCACTATTTTTAGGCCCACCCACGCTGCAGCATTTATCAGCCTATCTCGTTCTCACCGCTGAGTCGCATTCCCCTAACGCGTACAGGGTTCGGTTTCCCCAGCCACTGGGAAACGGGTCGGTGCACCAGCACCCGCCCGCGAGGCCAGTCACGGGCCCCTGAATGAACACGTGCATCACGAGTGCTGCCGGTGCAGAGGGGAGCAGCGGGAACACCCCCCAGGGGACGTAAAGTGCTGCAGCCACACAGAGCGTCTGGGAAGCATCGACGCCTTCACAA